CTGTAATCCATAGATTAGGATTGTGTTCCCACACCTATTGGAAAACTTTGACAACCCATCATGAACCCATGTGATGGTCTATGGGTCATGTGAACTACTGAATTAGTTTGAGAAAGAGAGTGTGGATTATAGTCCTCAGTAGAAAATTTAGTACTTTAGCCAAATTTAACATTCCTTAATATAGTTGGTTGACTAGATCTAAATCCCATCAAATTAATTTAAATATTAATTAATTTTACTTTAAATGCTTTTTAGAATGATAGAATGAAACTTTAGAAGCCTATGTATATTTTATTTTCTCAAAATGGATTTATAGATAGTGAAAAACTGAATTTTCAAATATTCAAAAATAAAAATAAAATAATTTCTAAAATTCAAAAACTGAATATTCATTATTTTAATATTCAAAGAAAAAATAAAATAAATAATTTTTTCTAAAATTCAATTCCTATATTTTATAAATCATAATATATATGGGGGCCCATCATGTGCAATGGGACCCACCATTGCATGGAGCCCACATATGGGCGCCATAAGTGGTATGCCCCACTTCATAAACACTTCTTACTTTGTGTTAAGGCCATCAAGGTACTCAATCAAGTTGAAATAAAATGGAAATATTTGAAAATTAAAGAGATTTGGTTTTCAAAGAAAGCATATGTAAGCAAAAATATGGAAATAAAAGAGATATGCAATATATTTTCCATATTAATTTTATTTGATAGGATTTTAGGTTAAGGAAGCTAAAGCATAAGGTTTTAGCATGTTCTTTTTTTGTTTGAGTAAGTCTGTGGCGGAAAAGGCCCCTACCCACTTTTATGTTCTAACACATTCCTTTTAATCATAATGACAAATCTAAATATTATAAACCTAAGAGCTCTCACTCCACATGTTTCTTATGATCAATAGTTTGGATCTTATGGACCCTAGAAACCTTGACTCTAAGAGAAAGTCTATAAATGCTCTCTTATTGGTACCCTTTTCTCTACACCTTTAGCTCACTCTCTCATATCTCTCTAGCCTCTCTAAGTTAGAAATTATTGAGAGAAGAAAAAAATAGGGGCACGCCCCAAGCATAGTGCTAAAATTATTTATATTTTATACTACAAAACTTAATATTAGAAGTTAATGTTATAGAGAAGATGTGCCATTATTCTCTCTTTTTTTTTTTTTTTCTATATCGATGTAATTATCACCGATTAATTAAACTTTATTTTCATATATTGTTCTATTAGCCCAAAGTTTTGTACAACGAACTCCATATGACTATATTTATCATGAAGTCATAAGTAATATTCATAAGAAATGTAGCTGATGCCACCTATTGCAAGAATATTACGAATATATGAAAATGTATACATTAAAACAATTTACTTTTGATACAAGGAGGTCACAATCATTATCAATTGTTGAATGTGAAATGAAGTGATTAATGATGTTTCATTGATTGGGCAAAAAATAAAAAATAAAATTACTTCAACCTATTGGATTTCATATCCAATAACTAAAAATAATTGTGACCTTTTTGCACTAAAAATAGATGGGAAATGTATAAAATGAGACTATTTACTTTTGATACAAGGATATCACAATCATCATTAACTATTAGATTTGAAATAGATTTGAAATCGAGTGGTTGAGGATTTGTCATTATTTTGACACAATGTCCGAAACAAAACTTTTCGAATATTATGCACATTTTCATCTATTAGATTTCACATTTGATGACTAAAAGTGATTGCGACTTCGTACTAAAAATCAATAGCATTATAATATACAGTTCCAAATAAAAGAAATATATATACCTCATGAAGTCATAGGTGATATTGATAAGTGGGAAAGGAAAGGGAATATAATAAAGGAAAAAACTTATATATAGCCGAGGCTCTAAATAATCTAATTAGAGCCCACCTTAAATATTGCAGTAGAAGAGGTTGTTTTGATGCCCAAATATCGTCAAATTGATCATCTCGACATCAAGATGCATGGACATGAGAAAAAAATGGATTTCAAGTTTTGGAAATAATGCATTTTGTAATGCATTTTTGGCCGTCAATTTTGAAAATTTTAAAGTTTTCATAGATCAGTTCTATCTACACTAATTTTAAAGCTTTAAATTTTATAATTAAAAATAGAGTAATGATCCTATAAGATCCTTCTCCAACCCTGTGTGTAGGATCCCAAAGGATCATCATTAAATTTGGCATTGATCTCTAAAAAATTTATACATAAGTGTAAGACTTGACTTTTTTAGAAATCCATGCTAAATTTAATAGTAAATTTTTAGGGTGTTATATATAGGTGGGAGAGGGTTCTATAGGATTATTTCTCTTAAAAATATAAATATATTTTAAGGCTATCACAAAAATTTCAAAAAATCACGTTCTCGATACTATTTGAATAGGGTCTATACAAACCGCACCCTATAGTAAATGCCACCCATGCTATGGATGCGCGGCTTTGAGCACCTAATGCACGCACTTACACAAGGGACTTGGCCGCATCAATAATTGTGAGCCGTCGATTAGATTTAGACGGTAACGCAGCGCACGTGTTAGCAAAGAGGGAGATGAGCGACCATCGCCAACGATCCTTCTCCCGCAAATTGGATTAAAAACTGCGGGCAGCGCTCCCATTTCTCTCGGTCATGGCCACACTGGTATCTCTCTCCGTATTTGGGTTTTCTCTCTCTTTTCTCCTGCCTGTAATTGATGTTGGTTGAATTGGGTATGTCTGGTGCACTCATTTATTTGTTTTTGTGATGGATTTTTCAGAGTAAGGAGGCAAGAAGGTTGTAAAGAGAGAGAAGGAGGTTTGGCTTCATATACAGATGGGGAGGGTGTACGTTTTAGAGCTTGATGGGAAGGTCTATCGCTGCAGATACTGCAAAAGCCACTTAGCCCTTGCCAAGGACCTTGCGTCCAAGGTGGCTCTCTCTCGCTCGCTCTCTCGATTCAATTCTGCATTTGCTTCGTGCTGCATATCTTTGTTACTGTTAATCCTCGGAAAGGTCTTCGTTAATTATGAGAAAAATGTATCTTCTCTCCTGTATAACTGAGAGATGTAGTTAAGATCTGTGGCTGAGAGTCATGTGTGATGATGGGAAGGAGTTTTTTGGGTCATGGGAATTGCTGATGGGTGATTTAGTTAGGGCTAGTCCTATATTTCTTTCGAAGGCTGTGTTGGAACACCAATCTACTGTAGGATTACCTTCTGATTTCTTTTATCCAAGCTTATCCTGCGGCTGGGATTCAGAAAGCTGGTCTCTAGCCTCTCTCCAATAAATCTCTCCAATAAACCTAACCTTTGGGAATCTCAGTACTGCCTTCATACATATATTTTCCTATGACTTTGGTTTCTTTGCAGTCTGGGTTACGTAGGAACAGGGTTCATTTTGATAGAATTTGGTTGTTATTAAAGGGTTTGAAATGAGATTTTATATGTTGATTAGATATGTACTGAGGGACCTTTGATATGCAAAATTTGCTTGGGCTACCTTCATAAACAGTCCATGAATCTTTCTCCATCTAAGGTTTTCCACTGAATGTGACAAGGGACTTCACATGTCACAGAATTTATTTGTGTTCAAGCCCAAATTATTGCAAGTTGGAGTTCAGATATGTCACATTCACGAGCGACGTGTAACTACGTAAGGCAATCCTATTATTGTTGTTAAATAGTTAGGGACTCAGGTTGAGCGATCTCTATGCTGTGTGTTTTGGTGAGATTAGGCACCTTTAATTATGCCTTGAGGGAGGCCAACCTCATAGTGAATTTACTTGCTCATATGGGCTCGGTATTGAGGCTATGGATCTCTATGCTTTTAATCATTGGAGCAACCATGGATCTTCCGCCTCTGCTCATGTCATGAGATTATTAAAGGGAAAAGTTTATGTGCAGTCTCTCTATGCTTTTAATCATTGGAGCAACCATGGATCTTCCGCCTCTGCTCATGTCATGAGATTATTAAAGGGAAAAGTTTATATGCAGTCTCCTTCCAAAATCTATCTTGGAGATGGATTTAGGATCTTAAACAAATCCTAAGTCACTCTAGATGCAGTTTCCGCTTTAGATTCATGATTTTGTGGCTCAAAAAGAAGTGCCACTTTAGATCCATGATTTTGTGGCTCAAAAAGAAGTGCATTGATGATGATGATAATTAAAGAGTGCATATGATTGTGTTCCCCTTTATATTTTTAAGCATAATATGATTTGCATGATTTTATTAGAAAAAACATAATTTTATCTATTTTCTTTGAGATTTTAGAGAAAGTCTGTTACTTGCAAATATTACATAGAATGACTGCAGAACTGTTCTAATGAGATTTTACATGAAGTTTTAGTATTTTTTTATTTGCTTTCGGGTGGATCATAGTTTCTCTGATGGTTCCTCTACCACGGAAAAAAACACAAGTTTCCTGTTGGATGTGCCATTTTTAATAGAAAATCACGTGCTTCTATCCAGTTCCCAAGCTTTTTAAGGCTAATTCATTTCTACCAGGGTCTCAAACTGAGGATCCATATGATGCCTTTAAACAGGCAATTTGAAGTGTACAACTGGCAGTTCTGGTTCTCAATTCCAGTTTCAACGGTGATAAAGGGGCATCACACTTTTTGATTTATCATTTTTCTGTAGATGAAGTCATTAATTAACTTTTGTTTGTAAATGAAAGGATTGCTTTTCCTTTTTTCGTATGGGATGAGTAGAAGGGATTCAACCACTCTAAGTTGAGCCCCAACACTTATGCTAATATGGATTGGGAAGGTTTTGCAGCAACCAGATAAATCTGGAAAAATAGACTGTTATAGGTTGCTATTGTTGATGATTGTACTTTAGTCTGTGTTGGTGTGTCCCTTGTGTTGTGACCCATATGAAGCAAATGTGGGATGGGGTGTTCCAGAACTAGCAAAGGGTCACACTGATTCAATAGTAGAATTCGTCGTTTGAAGAACAAATTCCCCTCATAAAATTGATGCTATAAGATTGCGAAGGTGGTGAGTGATGTAGGATAAAACTATTCTTATATTTTATTTTTATTTAATTTCAAAGGATGTATATATTAATTTTTGTTTTAGGGTTTACTTTTAGGATTTTAATTTTTTTTTAGGTATTCTATTCTAAGGTGTTGTATTTTAAGTTACTTTTAAGCTGGAATTATTTTAGTCATTTTAAGTTATATAAAGGCATTATAGACTTTGTGTTTAAGTTGAACATAGGGATCAATTTCTTATTTTTTATGGACAGATAATGTCCTTTGAACAATTAAACAAAGAATATGAAGTGGTGCTAGAGGGCACTAGAGGCCACTCATGTGACTCTTTTATGAAAAAGGAAGGAAAAGCCCCAGGCTTTTGAAACCCTAGCTGAGTTAGGGGAAAAGGCTTGAATAACTGGTGTTTCTCTGTTCTCTTTCAATTTCCCTACATCAATTTGGTATCAAAGCTTAGGGTTTCATTAATAATGCGGCTAAGGAACTAAAAGCAAGTTTGGGGTTTGCTTATTTTGGGTCAGGGTTTACCAAATTTAGCCTAGATCTTACTAATTTTATAAAACTTAGTTGATTATGTTGTAGGCTTTGTGATTTCTGTGAACCAATGGGAATGAGAAGGAACCGTGGAAGGAGGGATTTGCAGACCCACTTTGTGATCCCACAAATGAGGTGATTGAAGACCTCAAGATGAAAATTCAGCAGCTCGTGGACATCAATCATGGGCAAGAGGGTGGTCTTTCTACCCATGAAGATATCGAATTTGATCCTTTTCACTCCAGTGCTTTGCATGACAAGTCAAGTGAAGAGGAAAGTGATAGAAGACTTAGATGTGGGGGACATCACTCTATGGTTTTCAATTTGAAGGAGGACATTCTTGATTTTGACACAGTCTATATCCAAAATCAGCAGGTTGTAGATTGAGATTTGCCACCAATCTTTGGTACATGCTTAAGATGAACAATAAGGTCTCTTAGGAGATCTGGTCTATGATAAAGATCAAGATGAAGGTGAAAAATGTTTTGGTAGGGGGTCTTGCTTGTGAAGAACGTTGACAAAAAGCAGTAGGGGGACTGATCAAAGTTATGGCCTTTGAAGATCTCAAGGATATTGAAGAGTCACGTAGGAGAAGCGTGGTTGACTCATAAACGACAATTTTTGTGGCCTTCGATTTAGAGTAATGAATACACGACATTAAAGCTTCTAAAGGCTAGAAAATTGGGTTTGAAGTTTGCTACTCAATTTTCAAAGCAAGTTCAGGGATAACCGAATTTGAGAGTTTGTATCGGTTCCTTGTATAAATTTTGGTAGCCCTTTCTTCAGGATTTCTTCTAATCCTTAGTATAAATTTTGGTAGCCCTTTCTTCAGGATTTCTTCACAAGAATAGTATTTGAGCCAACAAAGAAAAGGAAGGTGGTTTTGATGTTGTATTCTTCTTAGCCTACTTCAAAACTCGACGATGAATTTTATCCAACTAGGGGGGATTGATACAGGACAAAAAAATAATGAGTATTTTAATTTTAATTTTAATTAAGGGTTTATTTTTACGGTGTTAAATTGTTTCTAGGTATTATGGGGTGCTCTATTTTAAGTTACTTTTAAGTTGGGACTGCTTTAGTCATTTTAAGTTAGATAGTGGGCATTATGGATTTTTATGTTCAAGTTAGGACATAGGGGTCAATTCTTATTTGTATGGACAAATAATTTGAACATTAAACAAAGAATATGGAGCGGTGCTTGAGGGTACCAGGGGTCATCCATATTACTTTCTTTTTAGAAAAAAGGAAGGAAAAGTCTCAGGCTTTTGAAACCCTAACTGGGTTGGGGAAGAACCCTAGGTTGCTAATTATTGCTTGTGTTTGGCTTGATTTACTGTTGTTTTTCTTATCTCTTTTAATTTCCCAACGTCAATGAGAATTCACATCGGGAAATTTTAGAGAAACTTATGTTGGAAGGTAGTAGCTCAAGGGCACTCCCCATCCAATAGAAGTAGGCCTTTGAGCCCAAAGATCATGAGCGTCAAGGTGTCCGAGATATGAAAATGATGAATAATGGTTTACTACCTCATTTCATAAGAATGACAAATAGAAAGGAAAAAGATATTTAGTTTGTAAAGAGATATAGTGATGCAAAAGTATATCATGAACTTCGGATATTACATGGAAATATCTTTGTTACGCAGAAATCTATTACATGCTAAATTATTGGAGTTATGATTTGTTGAAGGATAGTGACAGGAACATGATAGATGTCAGTTTTGGTTGATAGATGATGTGTGGAGGTTCTTAAGATTGGATCATAATTGGGATTGTTTAACCTAGGTGTCAATATTGCTCCATGATCTTGCTCTAGCACTCCAGGATAGGAATCTCTATTGGATACTAATTTTTGAATTTAGGATCTTGATTCCTACTTATCTAAGGATTTCTCCTAGCAGTTTGAAGGACAACAAGAGGCCAAGAGATGATTCATTGGGATCTTAGTTGTGGTCCTTCTCTCTCTCTCTCTCTCTCTCTCTCTCTCTCTTATGCTTTTGGAGGTTGTAAAGTGTAAAATTGTTGATAAAGCAGCTTGATATTGGAGGTTGTAAAGTGTAAAATTGTTGATAAAGCAGCTTGATATTGGAGTTTGTAAAGTGTAAAATTGTTGATAAAGCAGTTTGATATGTTCTTAAAGGATGTAAAGTGTGAAATTGTCAAAAAGCAGATTTTGTAAATAAAAAATCCTCTTCCTTGTAGTATTATTTGTTATCCTGATGGGCTTCCTCATAATATTTTTTTGTTGTGCTTTGTGGGATTATTGTTACATAAACTACACCTCAAAGAAATACAAACTTAATTAATTATACATAATGTTCTCCTGACCTAGGGAGCTGCTCGCATGTGACAGCTTCCACTTCCAACAACTATTGAACCGACTTCTAGAATAAGGGACCTAGTTCACTACTTCGAGTGTAATACCAAAGAATGCTTCTTGGAATCCCATTAGGGAATTCGGTTGCATGTGCTTAGGAGATTTGTAGGATAAAGAGGTTGAAATGTAGAGCATCATGTGATTCATGTAGAATCTTACTGTATGACTGTTAGCAGGGTAGGGTGGTATTCTAATTGAAGTTGCTGAGGGGTTTTTGAGCTCAATCTATGCATTGCAAATTATTTGGCAAGATGTAGTCTTCCTTCGCATCATTACTGATAAGGACGGTCCGAGTTTTTTATTTCATGTGGTCGAATCCTCACTGCTGGCATTTTCATTAATAAGGTATGTATTAGATAGATAACATGGGAAGCTAGGTGAAAAGAAATGGTGTATCATCTGTCAGTCTTCTGCAAGTATGGTTGGTGTTGTGGTCAAATTGTGCTTATTTTTTCCCTAAATGTTGATCTGTATTGTTATCACTGCTCTTCTGTTTTATATATGCTCTGCAAGGCTGGAGATTGAATCAATATTGTAGTAGTCAATTGTCTTGGAAACAAGTTGGTTTATCTCTTGAAGAGAAGAAATAACAGAATCTTTTAAATGAATTCTTCTTGAAGGGAAGAATATAAAACTTTTCCAAGGAAGTTCACATACTTTGGACTTGCTGATTGAAATTGTACGACAGAGCGTTATCTCTTGATCCAACATTGACACTAGATTGTTGACATAAGAACTGAAAACCTCAAAGCCTCTTGAACTAGTGTAATTTGTGGTCATCAAGCTAGATCCTGATTGGTAGAGCAAGCCCCATCTCCTAGCCTTTGAGAAGAATTGTGAAGCTAAATTTTGATGGCCCACTGGAGGAAATCTCAGTCTCATGAGGTTTTGGGGATTTTATAGAAAGCGAGGTTGTAAAACTGAAGGGCATTAAGTAAAATGTGACATTGGAAGGAGTCCACATCTTGAGTAGTGAATTGTGGGATTTATGCACTGGCAAGGGTTACTCTGCCATATAATGATATCAGAGGGTTTTATGTGGAAATCCATGATGTATTATCAATTGTAGTATCCAATGTAATTATGGACCAGGGTGACATATATTGTAGCTGATGGGTTGTCCTATGCGTATATCTACAATTTGCTATTGTGCCACTTAAATTTAATGCTATCATAGGTGTTGCTGATTTCACCCTTTTTGTATATCGTTTACTTCTCAAATATTATTTTATGCAAAAAGAAAATATATATAACTATTTATCTTCACCATTCTTCAAGATGATCAGCATTTTAAATCTTCAACAAAAATCCAAGAATACATGTGTTCTCCTAATATACATGTGCTTGATTTATTTGTTTTTACTCATTGCAAGATAATGCATAAATTTGTCATTGTTTCAATTAATTATTAGATTGCAATGCGTTTTGGCTGTGAAGGACATTCTGATTAGTATTGAAACATTTTGTTGCTTTAGAAAGAAATAATAACTGAATGTTTTACTTGACCATTTGTGGTTGAAGATTGAGTTCTAATTCTTATGTTGATTTTTAATATAGTATCTAAGTTGTAATTCTGATAAACTACCTTTTCCTATGGACCAGGATTTCCATTGTCGTCAAGGGAAGGCATACTTATTCCATAATGTGTAAGTTTCTTATGATTTTCTTGCCCTCTATTATTTGTGTGATTGTTTTTGTGTGCAGTATTTACTCAATTGTAATTACTAAATTTCTTTGTTTTAAAACTGGTCTTATCAAATGTTTGGTCTTTAAGGAGCTACACTTCTATTCATGAAATTAAGGACTTGTTGCAGGACACCGATCAAGGAACAATATTGGAGTGTGACAAGTGAGGGACATAAATATGCAGAATTGTTAACCATGAGATGATGATAATAATCTGAGAATGCTTATTAGAGATTGGAAGTGAGATATTACTTTACTCTGAAAAACTCATAACATCATTGAAAAATCTTCTTTTGATCATTGAAATTTATTCAGTCGTAGTGCATATGTATCAACTCTTACAAAGGGGTCTTCATTGGACCCAAAATGGAAGTTTTCGGCTAAGCCCCCATGGGACAACCAAAGGCTCCTTCAATTGAGAAGTGGCACTTTAGATCATCATCACTATCATTCGAGCCTTATCCCAACGTTTTGGAGTCGGCTACATGAATCTTGTTTTACACATCGCTCTATCAAGGACCATACTCTCAATCATATATAGGGAAAGCCCTTGCATGAGCGTATAACATTGGATCAGGATTCATGATAGGGATGTGGCAAACGTTTTCTGCTGGCTGCCACCCTAACACAACCCTCTGTGTTTCTTGTCTAGGCTTGGGACTGGCAAGAGTTAGAAGTGGCATTTAGATAACATTTTTTCCCCCTCTTAAGTTAGTTAGGGTTTTGAGTAGGTCCCAATTAATAATATTTAGTTTTGGTTTCAATTGACAAGGGGCATTTTGATTTCTTTGAGAAGCTTGTTTGGCCACAGTTTTTCATAGGATCTACAATTTTTTGATGCCTCACATGAGGTTTGGATAACAGCGTTGCTTGTGTGCATACAACTGCCCCCATACCCAGCTGGTCCTCTTGCTTTTCCTAGTGCTCCTGTCAAAGTTCAGTTTTGGTTCTCAACGTTGGTAGAAGAGATGCTCCTAGCTGTAGTCATGCCTTAGAAAATTGAGGCTAAATGGAAATTCCAAGGAAACAGGTTGTCAATCTGGAAGTGCCACCATTTTTCTTGAATCCAGGACAGATTGTTAAATGCAACTGTGTGTTTGTGAAATATTGATTTATGAAATCTGTAGCTGTAAATTTTGTACCAGAGAGTACATTCAAAATCGCATTGGCAGATATGCTAAAATGCAACTAGCAGTACATGCATGGTTGGTGTGGTAGATCCTGTTAATATGTTATCTTGATTTCAGGCAATGTGTAGGATATCATATCTTCATTCACAGGAAACAATGGAAATTTATTTACTAATTGCATTTCCAAAATTGGGTGCCTCTAAAGAATAACATCAAGTATGTCAGGTTTCTCCTTGCACATTTTCTTGTATGATGAATTATGCAATTTTCTATGTCATAGCAGCATGAGATGGTTCTTCCTTCTGAAAGTTCTGCCTCAAGGAAGAGATTATGTTTATCTTCATGGTGTATTGGAGACTGTCTACAAGAACACTTGGCCTCTCACTGAAGTAAATAGGCATCAAAATATGCTTGGTTCTTCAAAGGCTTCTTCTTGCTGGGCTTCACTTTCATGATTTGTTTGACTATTAAAATGTTCTGATGATGTTGCTCCATTTATTTGGCATAACTCCTTCCAATTATGTGCATTAGTTTTTTGTAGATTGCATACCTCGGATGATGCATTAGTTTGTTCTGGTTTGAATAGTGGGAGACTCATTTTTTATCTTCATGATTCCCAGTGTAAACGTGAACATTGGGGACCTAGAAGAAAGATTGATGACATCTGGTATGCATACTGTAGCTGATATTTTCTGCAGCTGCTGTGGGCAGATAGTAGGATGGAAATATGTACTCTCTCTCTCTCTCTCC